AGATTGTGCCAAGGAAATATGTTCTCCTTCTGTGAGAAGGTAACTAATTTTTTGGACAAAGGAAATGCAGTAGCTCTCATCTATCTGGATGTCAGTAAGGCATTTGATACAGTTCCACATGGGAAACTATTCGTTAAATTGGAGAAGATGGGGATTAATATGAGAACTGAAAGGTTGACAACGAATTGGTTACAGGGGAGACTACAAGGGGTCATACTGAACGGCGAGTTGTCAGGCTGGAGGGAGGCTATTAGTGGAGTTCCTCAGAGATCAGTCTTGGGACCAATCTTATTCAACATTTTTATTAGTGACCTTGGCACAAAAAGTGGGAGTGGGACACAAAGTTGGGAAGGATTGCCAACATGGAGGAGGACAGGAATATCATCCAAGAAGATCTGCATGACCTTGAGAGCTAGAGTATTAGAAATGGGATGAAAATTAATAGTGCAAAGTTATGCACTTAGGGACAAACAACAAGAATTTTTGCAATGAGCTGGGGACTTATCAGTTGGAAGTGACAGAGGAGGAGAAAGACCTGTGTGTATTGGTTGATCACAGGATAATTATGAGCTGCCAATGTGATGCGGCCATGGAATAGGTTAATGCAGTCCTAGGATGCATCAGGCGAGGTATTTCCAGTAGACACAGGGAAGGGTTAGTACTGTTATACAAAGCACTGATGAGACCTCATCTGAAATACTGTGGCCCATTCTGGTCTCCCATGTTTAAGAAGGATGAATTCAAATTGGAACAGGTGCAGAGAAGGTCTACTAGGATGATCTGAGGAATGGAAAATCTGTCTTATGAGAGGAGACTCAAAGAGTTTGACTTGTTTAGCCTAACCAAAAGAAGGCTGAGGGGAGACATGATTGCTCTCTATACATACATCAGAAGGATAAATACCAGGGAAGGAGAGAAGTTATTTAAGTTAAGCACCACTTTTGGCACTAGAACAAATGGATATTGGCCATCAATACGTTTTGGCTTGAAATTAGGCAAAGGTTTCTAACCATCAGAATGAAGTTTTGGAACAGTCTCCTAAGGGAATCACTGGGGGCAAAAAACCTACCTGGCTTCAAGACTGAGCTCGATACCTTTATGGAGGGGATGGTATGACGGGACTGCCTACAATGGAATGTAGTTGATCTGCAACTGCTATCAGCAATATCTCCAAAGGCTGGTGATGGGACACTGGATGGGGAGGGCTCTGAGATACTAGAAAATTTTTTCCCAGGTGTCTGGCTGCTGGGTCTTGCCCACATGCTCAGGATCTAGTTGACTGCCATATTTGGGGATGGGAAGGAATTTTGCCCAGACTCAGATTGGCAGAGACCCTGGGGTATTGGGTTTTTTTGCCTTCCTCTGCAACATGGGGCATGGCATGGGTCATTTGCAGGTTTAAACTAGTGTGAATGGTGGATTTTTTTGTAATTTGAAGTCTTTAAATAATGATTTGAGGACTTTGTTAACTCAGCCAGTGGTAGGGGTCTATTACAGGAGTGGGTGGCTGAGGTTCTGTGGCCTGCGATGTGCGGGAGATCAGACTAGATGATCATGATGGTCCCTTCTGGCCGTAAAGTCTGTGAGTCTACAAACTGTGCTTTGCGTTGCACAGACACTGATGGAGATCAGGGCCCCATCATGTTGCACATGGCAGAGAACCTGACTGAGATCAGCACCCCCATTGTGCTGGGCACTGCACAGACAGAGAGGGACAGTCCTTGCCCCAAAGAGATCACAATCCAAGTAGACAATGGGTAGGAGGAAAACTGAGGGGCTGTGACTTCCCCAACGTCACCAAGCAGGTCAGTGAAAGAGCCAGAAACAGACCCAGGTAACTCCAGAGCCCCGACACCCGCAGCTTGGAAAGGTCCCCAGACCCCATTGTATTAACGTGCAGGAAAAGGTGGTTTGTCCATGGATGCACAGGCTGTCTTGGCAGGGCAGCTCAGCTACAGTCCCTGCACACAGCTGGGTGTGTGTGTCCTGGGTCAGAAGTCAGTGTCCAGTCCTGTGGGGCTGTGCTCCTGGCTCATACCTCCAGCACTCACTGCTGTCCCTCCGTAACCAGCTGCACTGTTCAGCCAGCCCCAGGCCTCAGTGAGGTCACTGTCCCCCTCCCCCGATCACCACCATCGCCCAAACCTTCAAACTGGGACATGGTGCACCAGCGCCAATCAGAGTGCACTAGTGTAAATTCAGTCTATACTAAAGGTTTGCACCAGTGCCTAAAACAAATGTGATATATGCCATCATGTGCCAGCAATGCCTCTCTGCCATGTACATTGGACAGTCTATATGCAAAAGAATAAATGGACACAAATCAGACGTCAAGAATTATAACATTCAAAAACCAATCGGAGAACACTTCAATCTCCCTGGACACTCAATAACAGACTTAAAAGTGGCAATTCTTCATCAAAAAAACTTCAAAGACAGACTCCAACGAGAAACTGCAGAACTAGAGTTAATTTACAAACTGGACACCATCAAATTAGGCCTGAATAAAGACTGGGAGTGGATGGGTCACTACAAAAACTAATTTCCATATGCTAATTTCCCCCTACTGTTACTCACACCTTCTTGTCAACTGTTTGAAATGGGCCACCCTGATCACCGCTACAAAAAGATTTTTTCTCCTGTTGATAATAGCTCACTTCCACTTTAATTGAATTGTCTCGTTAGAACTGACCCCTCACTTGGTAAGGTAACTCCCATCTTTTCATGTACTGTGTATATATATTCTGCCTACTGTATTTTCCACTCCATGCATCTGATGAAGTGGGTTTTAGCCCATGAAAGCTTATGCCCAAACACATTTCTTAGTCTCTAAGATGCCACGTCTCTAAGGTATTCTCGTTGTTTTTGCTGATACAGACTAACATGGCTACCACTCAAACACCAGTGTGGCAGAGACTTTCAGTACCCAAAACAGCAGTACGGTGGCACTAGAACTGGGATCTATTTCTCGTTCTGTCATGACAGCCTGGGTGACCTTGGACATGTCAATGTTTCTCCTCCCAATTTTAGTCTGTTTACCCAGCTGCCCACTCACTGGGGTCTCCTTTCTGCAGAGCTGCTTACCACTAAAATCTGTGTGTATGTCACCAGAGCTAAGGTAGTTCAGCTCTGGAATAGTCTTACCAGGGTGGCTGTGGAGTCTCTTTCCCTGGAAGTTTTTAAGAAGAGGTAGGACAAACCTCTATCAGAGATAATATCTACATATACTTGGTCCTGCCTTGTCAGAGAGAGCTGGACTCGATGACACCTTGAGGTCCTCTCCAGCCCTACATGTCTATGATGCTATGCAATATATATGTATAAAACACAACAAACAAAATAAAACCCACCACAACATAATGTCAGGCAATTAAAAAAAAAAAAAAAAAAAAAACCCCACACAACCTACACTCTACAGCATAAAATGACATTATATAAAGGAGAAGAAAGCAACACAATGCAAACTAACACATCCTAGGACAAAAGTACACAATGCAAAATAGCTCAACTCAAACCAACACAGCACAGGCACCAAACAAGCTGAGGCAAAACAATGCACCATAAAACTATGCAACACAACATGGTGCATTAGAGTTCCAAATGGCACCATGCAAAACAGCTCAGCATAGAACAGGACACAGCACAAAAGAGAATTATTTCAGCGTAGGCATGGAAGGGATCTTGAGAGGTCATCTACTCAAGACTCCTGTGATGAGGCAGGACCAAGTATCCATAGACATTCCCAGACTGGCATACCTCTAACCTGATCTTAAAGACCTCCAGTGAAGGAAATTCCACAACCTCCCTTGGAAGCCAATGCAATGCAAACACTCAGACCAAAGCAATGCTGTAAACTCACAAGCTGGGCTTGGGGTTAAGGGGAGAGGCACGAATTCAAACAATCTGGGTTCGGTTTCCAGTTTTGACCCAAATTCTCCATGCAAACTTGAGCAAATTACTTCAGCTCTTTGAGCTTCAGTTTCCCCATCTGTAAAATGGAGAGTCGCCTCCCACCATTTGCCTATTTAGCCTTTGAGCTTTTTGTGGCAAGGACTCTCTGTCACTGTGGGAATGTCTACACTGCAGTGAGACACCGGTGGCTGGCCTGTGCCCGCTGACTTGGGCTCACACGGCTCAGGCTCCAGGGCTGTTTAATTGTGGTGTAGATGTTCCGGCTTGGGCTGCAGCCCAAGGTCTGGCACCCTCCCACCTCGCAGGGTCCTACAGCCTGGCTCCAGCCCGAGCCCAGACATCTACACTGCAACTAAACAGCCCTTTCCCTAAGCCCTGTGAGCCTGAGTCAGCTGGCATCGGCCAGCTGTGGGTTTTTAATGGCAGGGTAGACATACCCTTGGGGCTGGTCTACATTGGGGGCGGAGATCGATCCAAGATAGGCAACTTCAGCTACGCGAATAGCGTAGCTGAAGTCGAAATATCTTGGATCGAATTACCTGGGGTCCAGACAGCGCGGGATCGATGGCCGCGGCTCCCCCGTCGACTGCGCTACCGCCGCTCGCCCTGGTGGAGTTCCGGAGTCGACTGTGAGTGCATTCGGGGATCGATATATCGTGTCTTAACTAATCGATTGCTACCCGCCGATACGGCGGGTAGTGAAGACGTACCCTCGGTCTCTGTTCAGCACCTGTCATAATGGGGACCCTGAGCTTGGTCAGTGTCTGTGCAGAGCCTTGCACAACAGGGGGCCTGATCTGACTCAGGGGCTCTGCAACTCCCGGCATTACAGGATCCCTGATTTTGTTTGGGGTCCCTGCAGCATCTGGCAAAATGTGGGGGCAGGATCTCTGTCAGGGTCTGTGCAGTGCCCAGTACAGTGGGGTGTGATCTTGGTTGGGGTCAGTGCAGTGCCAGGCCTAACGGGGACACAGATCTCAGTCGAGGTCTCTGAAGTGCCCAACACAATGGAGGCAGCAATCTGGTTCGCACTCGTGCGCTGCCTGGCACGAGGGGGGCCATGATCTCAGTCCAGGTCTCAGTTTTACCTGGCACAATGTGGGGCCTGATGTCAGGTGCGGTCTCTACAGTGCCCAGCACAACAGGGGCGCAGATCTCTGTTGGGGTCTCTGCAGTTCCTGGCACAACGAGTTCCCCAAACTCGGTCAGGGTTTGTGCAGTGTCCGGCACACTGGGGAACCGGATCTCAGGCAGGGCCTGTGCCACGCTCAGTACAATAAGAACCCTGATCTCAGTCAGACACCTGGAGAGAAAAGCAGAAAGATTTTCAAGAATTTCAGTATTTCAGAACTGAGGAGAAAATGGAGCACAAACTAAATATTTGCCAATATAAGAGAGAAGCACCGATACCTGGGGAAATTTTAGGTCACCATTCAACAGTTCAATAGAAAAGAGGGGAAATTTGAGGGGATTATACAGCGATATTCAATCAACAACAGAATGGGATGGATTCTTCTCACATTCACATGGCCAGCAGGCAGCCCTGGGTGATGTCCCTTTCACAGGAGAAAGGAGTGGGGCTGGAATCAGAAGGTCACTGGCTGTGGGGTCTGGAAATATGACTAGCAGGTGGTGCCTGGGGGGGGGGACGACTGCTGGGTTGAGCAGGGTGGGGGAGGGGGAAGTAGCTAGGACTGGGAAACCTGGGGCTGGGCCGTCTCCATGAGGGACGCTTGCTCCTCCCTTCCCTTCCCTTCCTGGCCCTTTCCATGCCCTGTTGCCAGCGGAGAGTGCCCCCCCCCCAGCCCAGCCCAGCCCAGCGGTATCCGTGTCTCAGGGCTCTCCCAGCCTCTGCCCATTAACCCTCTTCCCAGTTCAGAAATCCCTCAGGGGAACCATTCCCCACCTAAACAAGGACAAATCACTGCAGGTAAAAATGGGGGGAAACACCCGAAACCTGAGATTTGAACTGGCCATTGGCTAACTGGAGAGAAAATGGGGCACAATCGGGGGAGGAGAACAGAGACCGTCTCAGGGATTTCAGGGAAAAGGGGGGGATCACCCTGGACGATGCTCGTTGCTCTCTAGAGAGAAGGGGGGCAGGGCTGGAGAGGATGGGGGGGTCCCCACGGGAGGGGGCAGCGGTAAATCCGAGGGGATCTCAGCCCCCCCCTTTCCCAGGTCTCCCCCCCGCCCGGCAGCCCCCGCCCAGCCCCACGCAGGGACCCCAGTGGGGGCCGGTCCCCTCCCCCCGGGACCCCCCCGTGGGGCCCCAGGGCAGAGCCTGGCCGGGCCGGGGGCGTTGGGCTCCTGCGGGGACAGCAGCTCCGAGCCCCCCGCGGGCGCGGCCCCAGGGAGCAGATCCCGGCGCTGCGAGATGCCGGGTCCCGCCCACGGACGCTGGGGCAGAGTCACCGCCCGGCCCCGCCCCCGGGGCTCGCTCCGGTACCTGGAGGCTGCAGCTCCGCAGCGGGGCGGGCAGAGCCCGGGGCGGCCCCAGGGCGGCTCCAGCGGGAGCAGGGCCCGGGCCGGGCACGGGGGGGTTAATGAAGGTCTCCCCGGCACAGACCCTCCTGCTCCGCCCGGCCCCGCAGCGCCAGCGAGCAGCAGCGGGTGAGCGCTGCCTCTGCGCATGCGGAACTCGCCCCCCCCCCCCATCTGCGCATGCCCAGAGCTCGAGCGGCACAAAACCCTTCTCCGGCTCCCGGAGACGCTCCAACGGTCCCGCACAAGCCACGCAGAGGCGCAGCGCCCCACGCGCGTTCGCAACTCGGCTCGTCCTCCGCAGTGCCCAACGTCACTTCTGCTCCGGGGAGAGCCAGGAACTACATCTCCCAGCCTGCCCCGGGGGTGCTTCCGCCTTCTGCCGCGCAGGTAAGGGAGGGGTTCAGCAGCTGTTATTGCGCATGCTCAGTGCGAGCCCCAGCGGGGTTTGCAGTAGGGGCTAGAGTAGCTGGGGGTGGGGCCGGGAGGCAGAAGCCGGGAGAACAAAGCCCAGAGCCCGGGGGCGGGGCAGCTCCTGGGGGCGGGGCTCTGGCACAGACCGGGGGCGGGGCAGCTCCTGGGGGCGGGGCAGCTCTTGGGGGCGGGGCTCTGGCACGCACCAGACGCTGTTGCTGCCTCCATGTGACCCGGGGCCCGGGCTGAGCAGCTGTTGCTTCTCGGGGTCTGTGCGGGGGGAGCCCGGCATTAACCCCTCCGTGCCCGGCCGGGGGGGGCTTTCTCCAGCTGGGACCCGCCCCCTGGGCAGCCCCGGGCCGGAGGCTGCAGGTGATTAACAAAGGGCTCGGGGGATGCTCTGGGCGCAGGGACAGGCGGGAAGCGCCTCTGCACAAGGGGGCCCAGATCCCCCCGCCCCTGGTTGTTACCGCACCTGGGGCAGGCTTCGAGCTGCGTTCACAGCAGTGACCCCTCTGCCTCCAGCCAGGGGCTGCCCCAGAGGCGCGCGCGGGGGAGGATAGGTTAGGAAGGGAGGGATGAAAAATGAGCCAGAGATGGAGGGAGGGCACAGACCGTGTGAACTGGGGGAGATGGACCTGTCTCTGGGCAGGCAGGAGATCGCAGGGGGAGAAGTGCGGGGGAGGGGTTATTGACATTCTCTCTGATTTATTTCTCCTGAATTCTTCCCCTTTTTCTCTAATGATCAAATAGGGGTATCAAATCCAAGTAGATTCTCCCTCCACCCCACCCTTTTCTCTCCAATGATTGTCCATGTCTTCATTCTCCTCCTTGGATTTTGCCCCATTTTCTAATTCTCAAAGGTCAGTTTAAAATCTCCTCAGCTCTGGGAAGTTTTCCCACCCGTTTTATCTGCAGCAAATTGTCCTTGTTTAGGTGGGAAATTGTTGCCCTGAGCCCTTCCCCAAACTGGAAGGGGATTAGTGGGTGCAGCTTATGGGGAGCCTGGAGACATGGCTGGCTCTGGGGTGGGACAGGGCAGCCATTTTCTGCCAGTAACAGGGCATGGAAAGGACACAGGAGGGGAAGGGAGAAGTGAGTGTTCTCAGTGGAGTAACCAGGCCCAGTTGCTGCCCCCCCCCCCCCCAGCTTTCTAGTGCAGCTCCCCACAGCCACCAGTTGCCTGTCCTCTCCCCATCCCATACTGCTGCCCCTCCCCACTGTCAGGGAGCTTTCCTGCTCCAGACCCCCTCCCTGGCCTTCTTAAAACACCTTCACAAAGGGCTTCCTGCTGCCCATGGGAATGGTGGTGGTGAAGGGGGAACCATTACTGTCTGCATGTGTATATTGAACTTCTATAGACAATCCCATCAAACTGTCCCAATTTTCTCACGTATTAAGTATCAATATAAAATCCCTTCAGATCTTGGTTATTTTCTGTCATATTATCAAATATTTCTTTTTTGACCTATTTCCTCATCAGTTCTCAAAGATGGATATAAAATATCCTATGTGCAGTGCTGTAGTAACCATGGTGGTCCCAGGATATTAGAGGCTGCCCCTTTTATTTATATACAAATGTTTGATGTTATTCTGCCTCCCATTCCTTATGAATCCTACCATGTTGTTAGCTTTTTTGGTGGCAGCTGTGAGAGTGGACTTTTTAATTGAGCTGTCTACAGCAACATGCAGTTCTTGAGTTGTGTAGCCTGCTCTTTGGCTTATGTATTAATTATATTGATTACTAAGAATTCCCAGTTATCACTTTGAGGGTTGACAGGTTCTTGTCCCAAGATCAGGCCCAGTATTTTTAAAATTACTCTATAGTTGGGAACCCCATTGTGCACAGTTGCAACACTCACTATAGGGACCCTTTTATATTTACAATAGTTTAATAATACATTTAGCAAAGTCACAAACACTGTAACTCAGTAAGATAGACAGAGATAATACAGAATGTACATCTGAACATCCATATACTCTCATCATCCCTTGCAGAACAACCTGAAATGTTCATCTCATCCCCATCACCTTCCTCATCATCACCTGTAGCCATCATCTTGGCACCTTCCAAGGGCTAAATCTCTCTCTTCTCCTGCACACAGGCTGGGATACAACTTTTATAATGTGTTACGTTGTGCCACTCAGTCTAATTCATGTTCAGTAGGGGTTTCTTCTGTTTCTTATTTGTATTTCCTCACCCTACCAATGTTGGGGTGTCCTTCTCCTGGGTTAGTGAGACCATTAATACAACTTATCATATTTGTCGCCATGGTACTCCTGTGGTGAGGCATCTGCGGATGTTGTATCCAAAAGCCAGCATTAGCTCATGTTCCTGTGGTTGGCTGGTGTCATCATGGACCAAATTCCCCCTTAGACACTCTATTTCCAGTTCCCCAAAACTTAGGGATGACCCTTAGGCCGTTTTATCTGTGCCAGAGTTCATAGACCTCAAGCCTTATGCTAACTGCTGAAGCAAGGAATCTACAGGCTTGTATCCAGTAAGATATTGGCATTACTGCTGCATAAAATAAATGTTAAAGCTGGATCTATGGGCTACAATTGATAGTTAATTTACCCCCCAATGTATAAGTAGCTGCAGTTTTTCTCTCCAATGTGCGTTGCTTTGCATTTAGAAAGGCAAGGTGGGTGAGGTAATACCTTTTATTGGACTCACTTCAGTTGATCAGAGAGACAAATCTCTGAGCTACACAGAGCTCTTCTTCAGAAGAATACTCTAAAATATCGCAAACTTTTGCCTGGCTTTCTTTCTAGTTATGTGTTACTAATTTAATATTCTCTAAGATTTTTTTCACTGTCTTTCTAATTATAAAACATTAACATAAAATATCCTCTGATTTTAACCTTTGCTCAAATTCTTGAATATTGATAGAAATTTTTTGCAGGTTTTCCATTTTCTTTTGATTTGTCAAGTAACAATATGAAATTCACTCAAATTCTACCTCTTTACCTACTATTGACTATCGATGTAAAATCCCTCACATTTTTCCACTTTCCTTTCTATTTTGTGAAAATTCATCAAAAATTCCCCGGATTTCCACCCTTGTCTTTTTAAGGACTGAACATTGATGTCAGGCTGTTCAGATTTTGCCTTTTTCCATGTAATTATCAAATGTCTATTAAAAAGCATCTCAGGTTTGGAGATGTTACCATGTTGCAGCAACTTCTCCTGTTTTGGAGGGAATTTGTTGTCTTGAATCATTCATCATCCTGGCAGTTACAGGGTTTGAAATGATCAACTTTCCCCTCTCATTTGAGACTCATTTCTCTCCCCCTTTATCTCCATTAAAATGTTTGCTGATGAAAGTGCCCCATATTTAATACACATCAAAGCCAGAGGTCTCCCTCTGTTTGGGGGAAGGGTGTCTCCATGGGCGGCTGGTGATCCGGCCATTGGGGGAGGTTCTCCTTCTTCAGCCTTTCCCAGGAGCCCAGAGCACCCCCACCACGGGCCCTGGTGTGCCGGGTAACTGTGCTCCCGGCCCCGGTACGCCAGGTGGCAGTGCTTCCTGTGTGCCGGGGGTCTCTGGGCGGACAGGTGGGGTGGCTACCCTGGGGCTCCAGGCGATGCGGCCCCAGCACCAGCTGCCCTGACTCCCTGCGGGAGGCAGGCCAGCCAGCCTGGGCCAGCCAAGGCAGAGCACTCTGGGAAGGGAACCAGAGGGGGCCTGGCCTGGGGATGGAGTGTGGGCAGGGCCATGCTAGGTTGTTTGGGAAGGCACAGCCTACCCTTGCCTAGGATACCTGCTGTCCATGGGTGTCTCTAATCTGCTCATAGGACAGTTGGCTGGACCCTTTTCTTTTCTTCAGGGGGCACAGGAAGGGGGCTCACTCTGTGCCTGGCTCCTTGCTGCCCAGGCTGTACCCAGAGTGGTTGAGAATCTCCATGCTACTGTATTAGCCCCTCACTTTCTCCTCACTACGTTCACCAGCAGTATTCCAAACCCCCATGATGAATGGTCTCCACGAGGGGTTGCTTCGCCCAGTGCTGAGATGTCGTCTCTGGGATGGGTCCCTATTGGCCATTATCTGCCAGTCACCAGGCATGGAAATTTCTTAAAAATTTTGGCTCCTCCATGCCATCCATTCTCCTGTTAAAGAAGCATCGCCCAGGGCTGCCCTCACCTGTGTGAATGGCTGGCAGGGGCTGCTGATAACTTTCTATCCATTTATCAATTACTGATACACCTCTACCCCGATATAACGCTGTCCTCGGGAGCCAAAAAATCTTACCGCATTATAGGTGAAACCACGTTATATCGAACTTGCTTTGATCCGCTGGAGTGTGCAGCCCGGCCCCCCCCCCCGGAGCACTGCTGTACCGCGTTCTATCCGAATTCGTGTCATATCGGGGTAGAGGTGTATGAAATCATGACAGGCTTTGCTTCTCTCCCCGTTTTCAGAACTGCTGGAACTTCAGGTTTTGGAGAGAAAACTGTTGCTATGAATCCTTCTCAGAAGAAGGGGCAGAGGGGGTGAGGGAGGAGGAAAGGACTCTGGCCTCCTCCCGAGCCATGTTTCTGGTCTCACTGAGACCAGTGTTACTCAAGAGACACTTCAAGGAAGAACATGAAGTGACTCCAGATTAACATGGGGGCAAATAAAATCAGGACATGTCCCTGTAGGGGGGGGTTTCAGTTGTTGCTAAAGGGGGGAAGGGGAAAGCCCTCAGTCTCTGTCTGACTGTGTGTGTGTGTGTCTCTCTCTCTCTCAGGATATTGGGGTTGAGCTTCCTGGGTCAGACGCTGCTGCCTGCATTGTGATCTGGGAGCCCAGACTGAGCAGCTGCTGCTCCCCTGGTGGGGTGTGGGCTTGGGAGTGACTTGGAGTGAAGCTTCCCGTGCCCGGGCAAGGTGAGGACTTTCTCCAGCTGTAATTAGCTCCATGGGCCAGCCCTTGGCTCTGCCCACACCAACATCTGAGTCAAATAC